TTGCTGATTACTTCAGTTAGAAATTATATTTTCCGTTTATCGTGTATAGACTTGATATGTAGATCTAGGTGATAGCGTTCTCAAAATTTTTTAAAGTCTAATATTTTTTTTTAGAAGCTTATTTCTTTTATTTACAGTAATTTTTAAATGTACTTTCAGTACAATCACACTGATATATAGGCTATAAATATTAACAGGATTTTAATACATCTTTTTGTTAAAGTTTTAAAGTATTTAAAAAAAAAATCTTTTCAAAACAAAAGTGCAATTGTGATCAGCAACAAATTCATATTTAATAAAGGGACACTACTCTTAAATTAAAAAAAAAATAGCCAGACAAAATATTAATCTCAAGGTCAAAAAAAATAATCAACACATTTCATAAAACTCTCCAACCGCCTACGTCACGGTTCTCGTTCTCCGCGTATGTTTCCAGTTTAACGTTTAACGCGTATGTTGTCATAACGTTTAACGCGTATGTCGTCATAAGGCCAGATGAACCTGCCCGAACGATCCACTAAAACAACCACAAAACACTCCATTTAACATACTCTCTAAGCACGGCGTTTACACGTGCGTTTCGTCCTGTACTAGGCACCGAGCGCTCACACCTCAAAACAAAAGACGTTTAGCGTGCGCGCGTGTAATCAATCATGCGTGGAAGTATAATACGATTTCCACGCGAGGAGGGATGGTGTCGTCTGCCACATATCCTTTGGTTTGTTTGTTGGTGTTGCCGTTATACCGGTCCGGATACCCCATGAAGCCGGTGTGAACTGTGTGTGGTTCTGTTTTTCGAAATTATACGGAACAATTGAAAAGTGTACTTTATAAACATAGACTTTTATACAACGTCGTTTCCTAAACTTACTGTTATAATTAGAATTTTTGTTTTTTTAGAAATAGCTCTTTTTTTTTAAATCTACAAACTAGATTTTATGTAGAGTTTATTTTAGTTTGTTTATAAGATACGTTTTTTTTTTAAACGTGTAATATTCTGTTTTGAAAAACCTCGTTTAACTTGATCAAGTTATCTAAATACCGTAAAATGAATGTTACTGTTTTACACGTCAAAGATTAGATTTTAACTAAACATTATTGGTCTAGTTTCTAAGGATAACAAATACATTCGAATGATTTTTATTTTTCGAAATTTTTTCTGATGATAATAAATCGTTTATTTTTTTTTTAATTTCGGTACTGAGCGAGGATATATAAATAAACTATTCGTGTAAACTACTGTAAACTAAAGCAGTCTAGACATGCCTACACATTCTAACTATATCCCAGTTTGATTTAATCGAGAAATATTCTCCAGAAATAGCACCGTGTGATTGAGCTATAAATAGAATCGGGAAACCCAACACCTGGAACGACCGCTACCACTCCCGTAGGTGAGTCAGACTGAGCATATTGTAACCCACAGAGCCGGACCCGGCAGACTGCGCCCCCTGGTTAAGTTAGTCGTGCCGGTTAACTAACGTGTAACTTAAGCCTGATGGAGGGTACGCGTGTAGTGTGCCGGAAAAGGAATGTTTCGTTGAGTATTCTACTTCCGGTTTTTGTGAGGAATATACTTTGGGAATCTTTCCTGTATTATAGTTGGTTGTTTTTTTGGTTATTTTTTTTTTGTGACTTTGTAGATTTTTTTATGGAAGCACATTTTGTTTTTGAGTTTATTGTGGTGAGTATGTAAAGAAATATATTCTTTAATAAAGTTGCGTGAGTACAATATTATGGAAACCATGCTTTACAGCTTGAGTTTCAAAAATTTCGGTTCTTAATTTTTTAGATTTAATGTATTACAACAACGTTTCTTTTCTTACACTGTTTTGTTGAAGTTATAGGCCGTGGAAGAAATGTGCGATTAGTGTTTCAGCTTAAAATACAGCATTTTCGATGTTTTTATATTTTTTTTAATTAGTTCTTTTTTAAAGACTATTTTTAAAAATGTGTGTGAAATTTTTTTTCTGGAACTACTGCATTCCAGCTTCTGACCGGAAGTTGTACAAGATAATCATTAAGATCGGCAAAAATCAATATTCACTTAGTGCGCGGTGAACTTGCCAGGGTTCTCCAGTTGCCGCGGTTGTGATAAAGATTGCCAGGCTGGCACACCAGCAGTTGTTTTAAGTGTCAGACTGAAGTGGCCACCCCGGCAACTGGAGAAATGGGGCCAAACTTTTAATTGCCTGCATGTGCCATGGGCAATACCGGCATGTCGAAATGTGGATGTGTGTTTATATATATATATATATATATATATATATATATATATATATATATATATATATATATATATATATATATATATATAATATGAATACGATACAAAGTAGCCTATTTAATGATAATGGCCACAGAAATGACTCAAGATGAGTAACTCGATATTGACTCATACATATTACGTCATCAACAAGTTGAAATCATAACGGCAAGCACACTAATTTATTGCCACCTGATCGTTTACTACACGAATTTTTATACCATATCTAATTATCATACCATCAAACCTTATTGTATGGCGTGTTTCTCATAAAAATGTTGTGACAAAGTTGATTTTTTTAAGTTCGGATAAATTTGATGAAGGGGATTAATCAGTCCGGCCAATCAATACTAAATTAGTAGTCGCTAATTTTATGTTAATCTGCAGACAAAGAAACGACGATGACAAATCCGAAACATACATTTTTTACGCAGATATCAATACTTAACTCAAAACATAAATAAGTCTTCGCCTCAACCCAACTCGCAGCCTTTTTGTAGTTTTTCTGTTTTTTTTTTTTTTTTTTTTTTAGGATTTTTTGCTTAAAAAAAAAATCTTACGTAGGGAAGAAAAAAGTTGAACTTTAGCTGACGTTTAATTCTAATTGTAAACTGTCAATGTTATGCCATTTCCCCATCCCCTAAATTAAACTTCTCCACCCTTGTCACGTGACTCCAGAAGCCGGCCAAGGTACCGGCTGGCAGGAGACCCCTCCCCGGGGGTCAAGTTTTCCCTGGCCCATCCCACCACCTAGACTCACGCCCCAACGCAAACAGCCATGTTATCGCATCCAAATTGCAGGTCGCTCGTTTGAACCGGATTTACGTATCGAAAACCTCCGCAGCTAAAGGTGTGGACCGCACCGAATGAAAACTAAACATTCAGTTGTGAATAATTCACATGGCGGTTTTCTACGCGTTACCCTATGTGTTCAATTAGGAGTTGTGCTTTTTTTTTTGTTAAATTTTAAAATTCTAAAATTTTATTGATTTATTTTAATGGGCGTTTTTTGTGAGGAAGGGGTCGACTTTTGAATAAATCAAAAGCTAATTTCGTTCAGCAATTCAAGTATCTATTTCCTTTTCTATTTCTTTTAATTTCAGTTACATTTAGGGTGTTACATTTTTAAAATCTTATGTCTTGACTATCCTAACTAAGCTACAAGGCCAGTTGTCTGAATCAGGTGATTAGCTTAACGGTGGCCGTCATTAACAATTCAGTACTGCTGTTCTGTTCAGGAATTACCATTTCAATTCAGCTCGTCGTTTGGTTAGTTTTGTGTTATTCTTTACGGCTGAACATACTACTGGATTAGGATTAGTAGAGAGTTAGAGTTTACAATTATTTCTATTATGTGATTGATAATTAGATAATTAGGTTAAGTATACAAAAAAGTGTTGGCTATTGATAGACGTTGGTTGATTGTAGAGTACACGTGTAAAGTTTTGAAATTATGTCTTTAGTATCCGTGATTTTAAACTGTAAACATAATCTGGTGTAGTGGACTGAATTGTCTTTAGTATCCGTGATTTTAAACTCTGAACATAATCTGTTGTAGTAGACTGAATAGTCTTTAGTATCCGTGATTTTAAACTCTAAACATAATATAGTGTACTAGATTGAGTGGAGCGTCTTTAGTATCCGTGATTAAAAAAACACTCAACATAATCTGGTGTAGATTGAGTTAAGAATTAAGTCAACCTTTGAGTAAAGCGAGGCTGTTGACATATTATTTTCATTCTCAACACAATTATTCAGACTTGTTAAATTTTTACGACGACATCGTTTTATAAAACAGTTTATTGTCAGTTGATTATATTGTAATTATTCATTAATTACCTTACTTCTCAATCGCTAATATACCCATAAGTTTACCTCTGAAGTTTGAGCCCTTATCTTTGAGTTTAAGTCAGAGAAAGTTAAAGTTATGGTTATAGTTAAGGTTATAGTTATTCTTATAGTTATTCTTATAGTTATGGTTATAGTTATCATATTGACGCTATTGTGGACGTATAAACCAAATGTACTGAAATGCCGTAATTTTCTGTATTAGTCTTTAACCTGAGTGGATCATTTCAAGCAACTTTACGGGAATACCCAATAAATGTATCAAAGAAAACATGTATCATTGCATCAATGTATACGATCATAGTTGGTAAATGTTCGGATACGCCCATACTATTTACTACATTGCAACTCACTTAAAGATTCTTAAAACCGTTTTTGTGTGAAAGTTTTCCGTTCTTTATTTTTATTAAAAGCGTTTAAACGAGCAAAATTAAAAATTACCCATCATCTATAACGTTACTTTAAAATTAGCGAGATCACCAATCCATTAGAACGAATTTCCATGAGCTGAAAAAAAAATGATTGGGGATTTGATTGTGTATTCTGCAAAGACTGGCAAAAATAATTAGTAGAAAATTAGGCTTATCTAAGTGTATAATATATACCTTGTGTATAAAGTTAAACCATTTTTTTTAAAACTTTGGCTTAATTAAGTGTATAATATTATATTTCCGAACGATACTCCATTGTGTATAAAGATAAACCATTTGTTTTACGTGTATTCTTCGTTAAAGATGTTTCTATCTGTACTATTTAAACTTAATGTTTACAGTAGTCTATAACTTTGAAGGTTTAATTACTGTGCTGTGTGCAGCGTGTTTTAATTGAATCAATCCTGTTCTAATTAGAATATGAGATAATTTATGTTCTGTTAATTACGGTCTAGGTTTAATCTTCTACAGTAATTAACATTTTAGAGTTAATTAAAAGTGAAATTTTCGGTTCGAAGAACAAAAACAAAAAATTAATCAAAAGAAATGTACTTCAAAAACGAAACGAAATTCAAAATCTGGTAAAAAATATTTAAATTGTTGTGACGTAATGATGAAGTATAGCAGACTATGACGTAATCCTGCAAGACAAGTCCTGTCTGCCGTGAAGAAGCGCGCGACTTGTGATCAGACGTGTGTCGTCATTTCCTGCCGCCCAGACACGCCACTTGTTGCCCCATTTTGCCAGGCCTTGCCAATGGAAAAGTAAAGGGAGTTAACCAAAACAAAACACGACGGGGAAAGGGAAAGAACTCGCTGTGTTGTCGGAGTAGTGCAATGAGTGGAGTACTGATGGTGATTTATTCTGGACTAGCGGCAACTGAAACATGAGTATGATATTTTTTTTTCTACTTTTGATCACTTTAGTTTAGTAGAGCACCAATTTGAGTTTGATAATTTCGGTATGCGTATTCTTCCTACTTGCAAACACTTGCAATCTCCTTACACTTCCTACTTCAAATACATGCATTTTTATAATAACTTTTGTTAACTTAATTATTCGTTATTGATATCTATTCTTCTTACAACGGATGCAAAAACGTAGACTAAGATTTTAAACTTCATTATTTAAAAAAAGTACTAACAGTACTATATTTGATGTAAAATAACACAATTTTTAAAGAAATTGTTAAGTTTAACTTTGACAGTTGTGTAGTTCTTGAATGTTTAGACCTAAATACAGTATGATAATATAAAATATAACCTTTATTTAGACCTATATATCATATATCCTAAATCACCTCTCTATCTCTTTCTAAATAAATAAATATTTGTAAAAATCTATATAGAGAAGTAAATAAAAATGTATCTATATTCAACATACACACATACACACAAACACACACACACACACATATATATATATATATATATATATATATATATATATATATATATATATATATATATATATATGGATGTACAGCAGATTGTAACGTTTGGCTATAAGAGTTCCTTTGATTACATGATTTGTGTAAATGATTGCACCCGAATGTATCACCTTAACCCCTAAAAGCACGTTCAAAGTAATTTCCCCCACACAATTTTATGTTTACAAATCGACCAGTAAATGACGGAGTTAATGCCCTTGTAAGAAGGACGTCGTTACTCTAAAGATGGGCCTAAAAGAAAGGTGTTTCTTGCGACAGTTTGAGGTCTGCAATCACTCACCGCTTTCTATATTTTCTTGTCACCTTTCGCCAAAGTGTCCGCAACAGCCAAATCACACAACCGGCCCAAGGTTACTTTTAATTAGTTTTCTCATTCAGCGACTCTTTGTCACGCGTTTTCAATAATTAATCGATTACAAATAATCTAACTTGATTGCCTGTGGTATCGATTCGTTTTTTATGCAGAACGATGTATCGATATTTCTTTTTTTATTTAAATCGTCATATATGGATCCTCGTTGAAGTAATCGATATAAAAACAAGAATTTCGTTGTTGCGATTTTATAGCCAAAGTGTGTGTTTTGTTTTATTGCTCTGTATGTGTGGTGTTTTGTTTAGTGCATAGTTCTTGATTTAATCCCCGGATAACATAGCCATGTTTATCGCATCATATTCTCTTGTCGTTTTATATGTCATGTCATTTTTCTATGTTGCATTTGTTGATACGTGTCCTAGTTTACATTGTATGCTAAGTAGCAAAATATTGTTCTTTTCCGATAACTTATTTATGGGTATATGGAAGTTATATTTTTTATAATATCTGTATCGTTTAATTTTTCCTAGTAAAAACATTGTTGATGTGAGTTCGGTTATATATATTGGTTATAAAGAAGAGAAAGTAGATGAAAGTTTGACCAAAAAATGGATTTGTCGATCGTCTAAAACGTCAGGAAAAAAATGGTCACACAAGTGATAGAGTGGACCAACATTCTTGACGCGGGTTGTCAATTGATTTTATGTTCTGGTGAGGGAGGGAAGGGTGTAGGGTGGCTGTTCGTCAAATGTATTTTATCCCAAATATTTCCTACGACAGCTTGGTGGCTGTAACCTGTACTGTTATTCATTTGTCTTTTTCATTTCATGTTAAAAAATAATTAATTAACCCCCACCCTACCCTTCCAACCCTCACCCTTAATTTCCCCCTATACAGACTTCCATTAATCATCTATTCCAGATTGTCCTTAGGTTTCTCATTCCTCCAATCATTTAATTTTCTTAACTTTTATTTTTTGTCTTCAAGAGCAATGTTCTCAGTTAAAATAAGTTAACCTTTAACCAATTTTAAACTTTTCATTTAGGCATTACGGAGAATTTTTTTACTTTTAATTTTTGTCTTCAACAGCAATGTTCTTAGTTTAAATAAGTTAACCTTTAACCAATTTTCAACATTTTATTTAAGCTTTACTGAGAACTTTTTTTTTAAATTAAATATCTTGACATTACGTTAAATTTAAAAATAGCATCCAAATTACTTTTAACTAAGTTAATCGTAAGCACGGTTTGTAAAATATCTTCACAGTTTTGAACACACAAATTTTGAGTTACGTAAAAATCTTCAAAAAAAAATGTTGATGTTATCTTCTTGGTTCTTCCAGAATTTTCTAAAATAAATTTAAAGTTCAAATTAAGATAACTCTCAAAAGGGGGATAACCTATTTTTTTTTTAAATTTAATAATTTTACGTGTAAGCAAAACGATATAATATGTAGAAAATTCGTCCACATTTTGGTTTAATACGATTTCCAAAGGTTAATATTTCTTTAGTGATCATACTGGCACGGCGTGGAGTAGTGGTAGAGCGCTAGTCTGCTAACCTAAAACTCACAAGTTCGAATCCGGGTTCAAATAAATAGAACGACACAAGAGTTGATCCAGCTCTGATGGGTACCTAGCTCACATTAGGGAAAGTAAGTGTGGCTGACCACACTATCCCTGCATATACCTAGGTCTCAGAAACAGGTGAACTCTACTTCACTTGCCCCATGGACCGTCAGGTTCGAAAAGGGAACTTGAGATTAGCAGCAGTCATATAATAGAATGCAATATATTACCAAAATCACAAATTGTTTTTAGTGTAAAGTCCTAACTTTCACGATCATTTATCTTTCGTTTCGTTTTATTTTTAAATTCCCAATTTTCGTGCATGTTTTTCACCATGAAGTTTTAAATTTTATTCGCATGATGAAAACATAAAAAAAATGTTGAAGAAGAAGAAGATATCAAAACCATTCCGTCTATTTTGGGAGTGGGAAGAAATTCTTACCATTTCCTTGCTGATTTACCTCGATCTGTAGAATCATTTGAGTCGTCTGCTGGGCGGGAATATTTAGACGAATCACGTGACAAGATTACTTTAGCACACCGTCACGTGGTCTACGTGTGCTTTAAAGAGTGCAACCGCTCAGATTAGCGCTAATCTCGGCTATATCTACAGCAATAAAACACACTTCTAACTTTAGCAGTCAAAATAAGCTTCCAACTAAAACACCTAAATATAAATTATAAGTTTCTTGCAATATAGTTTACTCAAAATTTTCGAAACGGGAAAATATTAACAGCATATGATTCAATTTATAACATACGTCATATAAAATGAAATTATCTTAGTCCAAATATTTTTACACCTACTACATTACGAAAACATACGTCTAGACTTGTAACTCCAAACAACTTACAGCTAAAATATCTAAAATTAAATCATAATTTTATTTCAATATAGTTTTCTCTAAATTTTCAAATTATAGTATGAAAAACTTCACGTATAAGCTTGTAAGTCTACTAAAATGCAACACTTTCTCCTTACAAATGTACAAAGATAGTGGGTAACTAAACACAAAAATAAATTGTTAATTATAGAAATTGTATCCTATTGTGGACGATGTTACTAGACTACACATACACACATTCTCTCTCTCCCCTTTCTCTCTTTCTCTTTCTCTCTCACACCTGTCTTTCTCACTCTCTGTTTCATTATCCTCAAAATACTTAACATAAACGTCTTGTTTTTCTGCGTCTATTAAGTTTTTAGATCCATCTTTATTAGCATGCAGTCTTATAAGTACTAACGTTAATACACTCTACTCTATATGTCTTTGTGCCTTTAAAACCACGTTTAAAATATCACCCTCAAAAACTATCATCAAATTTAAACGACATGTAATCATATTGCAAAAAATTATTTTAAAACCCCAGGTATAGCCCATGAAAACTCTGTGCATAAAAAACATGAATTATTAAAGCACCCGGATCTATTTTAACTCTTTCAGTCTGCTCCCCCAACGGCAGTCGGGAAAAATTTGATTCACTTTCAGAAGTTTTTTTTTTTCGTCTTTCATTCATGTCCGGATATTTTTCCGGATTTCTGACCAGATTTTTCTCCATCCTGTAACAAAATGCAAGATAAATTTGGAAGAAATAAAATACAAATCATGACGTCAATACAGAAAAACTGCTGCTATTCTTTTGAGTTTGGTTGAAAAATAAAAATCCGATTGATATATGTGATTTAGTCCACGTGCAATAACAAGAATCGAATTCAAACTGTGGTTTATTAATAGTTTAGCTTGAGGCAGGTGGGATTTGGTGGATAAGGCAGACGATTTCACGTCTGCTAAAGTTCAAGTATTGTATTCGAGGTTAAAGGTCAATCCGATGATTGTTCAATACTGTTTGTTGCTATCATTGACCGTTTACGTCCAGATTACAATTCACGTGAAGAATGGCCGTGGGGTGAAGGTCATCGCGTAAAACTTCTTAGGAACTACAAAACTGCTAATTAGTATTAGATAAAATATTGAATCAACACAACAATAAAAATTATAATTACAAATTAATTAGATAATTGATTAAGGCCCTGTTTTTATAAATGCAATATAATTATTATTCAGTCAAGTCTCTGAGTCATGAATAAAAGAGTGAGGTTCCCTACAAACCGAGTACAGGATATCATGACATTCACATTCTGCTATAAGACGAACATTGACTTCAGCTTGTGTAGCGCTAGATCAGGGGTCTCCAAACTGCAGCCCGCGAGGTCCTCTTATCCGGCCCGCGGAGATCTTTTTGTCCAAGAAAAAAAAACGTTTATTGGTGATGGCTGAGGAACTTCGCTCAGAAGAATCAAAGATTTGCCTGGAAGAAACTAACCCCCCAACTGAAATTTGATACTTAATGCGGCCCTCGGACTGAAAAGTTTGGAGACCCTGCGCTAGATCCATACATTCTTATAGATATCAGATTTAACATTTTTACTTTCTCGTATATACGTAGTATAGAGAAAGTATTGTAATCGTGCAAAAAAAAAAATCGAGATTTTTACAAATCTCGACGTTTTACACCTCACTGATACGGAAAAAAATAATTTTGCAATCTTGTCCGTAT